TTTCTTTCTTTCTTTTTTCCTTCCTTCCTTTTTTCTTCCTCCTTCCTTCTTTTCTTTTCTTTCTTTCTTTCTTTCTTTTTTCTTTCCTTCCTTCCTTCCTTCCCTTTCTTTCTTTCTTTCTTTCTTTCTTTCTTTCTTTCTTTCTTTCTAACTGTATTTCAATTTGAATTGGTTTCCTTTGTAACCCTCTGTATTTTATTTTACACATTTAGAAACATTATTCTAGTAAGGGTTCTATAGGTTTCAACTGCCCTAGATTATTAACTTGCAAAGCTAAGTACCCCTGCTACTGCAAAAATTGCCACCTCTTACATAAGGCACTTCATGATTCAGCCTCCCCCTCTCATCCTAGCTGTTAGTGCTCTTACCTTTCCATAAAATTTCTTTGTTCCTTTTGCAAATATTTTGCATTTGCTTGTCTTTGTAGGGTCACTCCTAGAAGGTAACCACCCAGAGAGAGGAGATTGTTTTATTTTTGCATCCCCAGTAACTGGCACATAGTGGGCTCTTAAGACAAAACTGTCAAGTTAAGTTAAATTGAATTAGACAAGCCTGTTACATAGTGAGTGCTTAATAAATACTTGTTGAATTGAATTAGATGGACAGGTAGCAAGATGGTGTTAATATCCTTCCACTAATGTCCTCCTCCAGTGCCTTATCATGTGATGATGGTGACCTTGGACTCTCAAAGGTTATGCCAACAGGACCCAAGTTCTTGTAGATTCTATTGAACTGGAAAAGCTTTAAGGACCAGCCTGACCAAAGGTTGAGGACCAATCTAACTCAATGCAGAAAAAGTTCATCCTCAGTAGGCTGGCTACCAAGGGATGCATTTGTTAACCTGGTGATGCATGATATACACAAAAAAAGCAACGAAATCCTGATCTTATATAGTCTCCTTCCAATTCAATAGTGGCAGGAGCAGAGTGGTACAAAAAGAGGGCAGAGCACAGGAAAGACAATACATTTCTTAGAGCATCTGCAAACACTGCTTATAAGATGAAAAAAAAGTATGAATAAGTGTCACAAAGAATCAGAATGTATGGAGGGGTGTAAATTTTCATTTGTGCATGGAGCATCTATACTGATAAGACCCTGGATCTGTGGCAGAAATAGAAACATAAAGTGATAGTGATGGTAACTTGCACTAATTCCATATCTTTAATACTATGGTGATAGATGATGATAAAAGAAGAATGTGCTCAAATGTCTCAACCCAGTAATCACGGCATTCCACTTTCTGAGTCATCCACCCTTTTTAATCTCTTAGAACTAAATTGAAAGTTCATGTTCCATCCAGCTATGGATGTCTTGGGTTTTTATTTATCATCTCTCTTTTTTTAAGAGACCTCTGGGTAGAAAGCACAATCTGATGTATTGAGTGCTTCAAATTTCTTCAAACAGTTTGGGAAGAGAAATAAGAATGCTTTTTCTGCTTTTCTTATCTCCTAGGAGAGGCTGGCAATTGAACTTGAAGGTTACTTTCATTTCATTTTTTGCATCATTTGAAAGTTCTATTTATGTCATGACATTCCATATCAGGATCACCCATAAATAGAGATCATCACAGATGTAAAGCAGTGAGGGATCCATCTTGTGTGACCTAACCATTTTACAGAGGAATAAACTAAGACCCAGAGAGAAAAAGTGACTTGTTGCACAAAGTCACACAGGGAGTAAAAGAATTGGGATTCAATTTAAGATCCTCTGAATCCAATATGTCCACCATACCATTTTCCACATGATGCTACTATCTAATTAGTATGAAGGGAAATTCAGTCAAAATGTTCAAGAAATATAATATTTGACAGTGTCCAGATAACAGAACAGAGTTTCTTTTTAAACTGTATTAGGCTTTAATCTTGGCTTCATTA